AATGGTAGTGGATCATTATCAAAAATTTTGAGAATTGCCACTTCCGTGTGGTGGTGTTCAGTTTCTCAGTCATGTCCAGCTCTTTGCGACCCCATGGACTACAGCACACCAGGCTTCTCTGTCCTTCACCATCTCCCGTGCTGGCAAAGTAATGTCTCTACTTTTTAATACACTGTCTGGTTTGTCATAGTTTTTCTTTCAAGGAGCAAGCATCTTGTATGTGGTCTTTCAAGGAGCAAGCATGTATGCTGTCACCATCTGCAGTGGTTTTGGAGCCTAAGAAAATAAAGTCTTTCACTGTTTCCATTGTCTCCTCAATTATTTGCCATGAAGTGGCCCAGTGTAGGCCCCCATAGATATTTATTGAATGTAAATACTAGTATAATAAACCACCTGTTTCAGAGGATCTGGGAGGAGGAGCCTGGGGTCTGGGAATCTGTATTTTAACACGCTTTCCAGGCAGCCAGGCTGCTAACAGTTGCAGAACTATACTTAGGAAGCACTGACCTATTCTACCCACTCTGGCCCAGGTCACCCACAGGGACCTGGTTACAATTGTGGTTACAATTAGTAACCACAGACAGTTAGCATTAGAACCAGACCTTGAATTTGGGTTGCCCACATTCTGGGAGAGGGTTTACTCAAAACTTCACCAGCATCTCATGTTGGCCACTTCTCATCAAGCACATTGCATAACCTTCTAATAGATGTCCTGAACGCCAGTTTCCTCCCTATCTACCTCATCTTCACTGCTGTGCTCAGGCATTTCCCTAAATCACTCAATTTCATTTTCCTCATCTATACCTTTGGCTTTTTCTCTACTGTCAGTAGTGTTAAAACCAAACTCCCTATATATCCTTCAGGGCTTGCCACAGTCAGCCCCGAGCCTGGCACCTCAATTTCTTCTCTCTTCCAGTCTCCCAACTCTTTTCTTTATCCTTCTGCTTCTGGCGGGGCTACCCCAGACCACCTGCATGCCCCAGGCACACCCCACTCTTATCTGAATCTTCTACTCATGTTATATCCACTAATTAGAACTTAGCTTCTATTTTCCTCTGAATTGCATCCATCCTCCCAGACCAAGTTCAGTGCCACTTTTCTAGATCTTCCCTGATTTGGAGTTAATAATTTCTCCTCCTTTGCTTCTCTTTGCTCTTTGCCCATTTTTTGCCATAGCATTAAGACTCATTGCCTTGGACTTTGTTAGCATAACCTGTGTTCATTTCTCTGATGAGGAAGTAAGTTCCTAGAAGGCAGTTTTCATGTATTCTTTGCTTCTTTATATTAATACATCCTCCACTGCTTTACAAGTAGGATTAAGTGATATGTCTGTTAATTTTTCTGAGTTATGATTGCCCCCAAGTGAAAGGATTCCCTGGTGGCTCAGATGGTAAAGAATCTGCCTGCAGTGTGGGAGACCTGGGTTCAATCCCTGGGTCGGGAAGATCCCCTGGAGAAGGAAATGGCAACCCACTCCAGTATGCTTGCCTGGAGAATCCCATGGACAGAGGAACCTGGAAGGCTTCAGTTCACAGAATTGCAAAGAAGTATTAATTAGCAGCTTAACCAAGTAACTTACGTAAAATGGGCTTCAACCTCTGTATGAAGACTCAAAGCTCCCTGGGACTTCTTTGCCATTTTATTCCTTTATAAAACCAAGCAAAAACAAACAAACCAGAAAAGTACTGTAGGGTTTGTGTGCTGTTCATCATAAAGAATTCTTTGTTTTCTTCTGGAGAGGAAGTAGGCCGACGACAAAAGAGCAGTGATATTAGAGAGAAAGGGCTGGCAAACTGGGCTCCTAATAACTGCTATTTTCAAGAGATTGATGGGAAGGGGGGTAGGAGTTAAAGAAATGAATATGGTATAAAACAGAAATTAAGACAGGATAGTAAGTAAAGGGCATCTACTTTAGCGACTCTCTGTGAGAAGAGGCTTCCCTGATAGCTCAGCTGGTAAAGAATCCACCGGCAATGCAGGGGACCCCAGAGAGAGTTCTGCCAAGAGAATGCACTGGTCATAGCAAACACCCTCTTCCAACAACACAAGAGAAGTCTCTACACACGGACATCACCAGATGGTCAACACTGAAATCAGATTGATTATATTCTTTGCAGCCAAAGACGGAGAAGCTCTATACAGTCAGCAAAAACAAGACTGGGAGCTGACTGTGGCTCACATCATGAACTCCTTATTGCCAAATTCAGGCTTAAATTGAAGAAGCAGGGAAAACCACTAGACCATTCAGGTATTACCTAAATAAAATCCCTTACAATTATACAGTGGAAGTGACAAGTAGATTCAAGGGATTAGATCTGATAGGCAGACTGCCTGAAGAACTATGGACGGAGGTTCATGACATTGTACAGGAGGCAGGGATCAAGACCATCCCCAAGAAAAAGAAATGAAAAAAGGCAAAATGGCTGTCTGAGGAGGCCTTACAAATAGCTGTGAAAAGAGAAGTGAAAGGCAAAGGAGAAAAGGAAAGATATACCCATTTGAATGCAGAGTTCCAAAGAATAGCAAGGAGAGATAAGAAAGCCTTCCTCAGTGATCAATGCAAAGAAATAGAGGAAAACAATAGAATGGGAAAGACTAGAGATCTCTTCAAGAAAATTAGAGATACCAAGGGAACATTTCATGCAAAGATGGGCTCAATAAAGGACAGAAATGGTATGGACCTAACAGAAGCAGAAGATATTAAGAAGAGGTGGCAAGAATACACAGAAGAACTGTACAAAAAAGATCTTCATGACCCAGATAATCACGATGGTGTGATCACTCACCTAGAGCCAGACATCCTGGAATGTGAAGTCAAGTGGGCCTTAGGAAGCATCACTACGAACAAAGCTAGTGGAGGTGATGGAATTCCAGTTGAGCTATTTCAAATCCTGAAAGATGATGCTGTGAAAGTGCTGCACTCAATATGCCAGCAAATTTGGAAAACTCAGCAGTGGCCACAGGACTGGAAAAGGTCAGTTTTCATTCCAATCCCAAAGAAAGGCAATCCCAAAGAATGCTCAAACTACCGCACAATTGCACTCATCTCACACGCTAGTAAAGTAATGCTCAAAATTCTCCAAGCCAGGCTTCAGCAATACGTGAACCGTGAACTTCCAGATGTTCAAGCTGGTTTTAGAAAAGGCAGAGGAACCAGAGATCAAATTGCCAACATCCGCTGGATCATCGAAAAAGCAAGAGAGTTCCAGAAAAACATCTATTTCTGCTTTATTGACTATGCCAAAGCCTTTGTGTGGATCACAACAAACTGTGGAAAGCTCTTAAAGAGATGGGAATACCAGACCACCTGTCCTGCCTCTTGAGAAATCTGTATGCAGGTCAGGAAGCAACAGTTAGAACTGGACATGGAACAACAGACTGATTCCAAATTGGGAAAGGAGTGCGTTAAGGTTGTATAGTGTCATCTTGCTTATTTAACTTATATGCAGAGTACATCATGAGAAATGCTGGGCTGGAAGAAGCACAAGCTGGAATCAAGATTGCCGGGAGAAATATCAATAACCTCAGATATGCAGATGACATTACCCTTATGGCAAAAAGCAAAGAGGAATGAAAGACCCTCTTGAAAGTGAAAGAGGAGAGTGAAAAAGTTGGCTTAAAACTCAACATTCAGAAAACTAAGATCATGGCATCCAGTCCCATCTCTTCATGGCAAATAGATGGGGAAACAAGGGAAAGTGACAGACTTTATTTTCTTGGGCTCCAAAATCACTGCAGATGGTGATTGCAGCAATGAAATTAAAAGATATTTGCTCCGTGGAAGAAAAGTTATGACCAACCTAGACAGCATATTAAAAAGCGGAGACATTACTTGGCCAACAAAGTCCATCTAGTCAAAGCTATGGTTTTTCCAGTAGTCATGTATGGATGTAAGAGTTGGACTATAAAGAGAGCCAAGTGCCAAAGAATTGATGGTTTTGAACTGTGGTGTTGGAGAAGACTCTTGAGAGTCCCTTGAACTGCAAGGAGATCCAGCCAGTCCATCCTAAAGAAAATCAGTCCTGAACATTCATTGGTAGGACTGATGCTGAAGCTGAAACTCCCAATACTTTGGCCACCTGATGCGAAGAACTGACTCATTTGAAAAGACCCTGATGCTGGGAAAGATTGAAAACAGGAAGAGATGGGGACAGCAGAGGATGAGATAGTTGGATGGCATCACCGACTCAATGGACGTGAGTTTGAATAAACTCCGAGAGTTGGTGATGGACAGGAAAGCCTGGCGTGCTGCAGCCCATGGGGTCACAGAAAGTCGGACACGACTGAGCAACTGAACTGACTGACTGTGCCTGAGAAGGCCCTGCAGCTCTGCCTTTGTTAAAATGATTATGCTCTGGGTCAATTCTATTCCATCTAGCAGAGTGCAGAGTGCTATTTGGGCCATACCCAAGATAGCAAATCCTCTGCCCAAATGGAAAGTTAGAGCAGAAAAGCCTGGCACAAAAGTACAGATGGCTCAGGTGCTTTTCTTTCACTGAGTCTAACGCCTTTTAAGTGGCTTTCTTTCTTGTTTAAATTTTTGGCTTCTCTGGCTCTTGGTTGCGGTGCACAGGCTTTCTCTAGTTGCGGCGAGTGGCAGCTGTTCTGTAGTCGCGGTGCTCGGGCTTCTCATTGTGGTGGCTGTTCTTGTCGCGGAGCATGGGCTGTAGGTACATGGGATTCAGTAGTCTCACCTCATGGGCTCTAGATTGTGAGCTCAGTAGCTATGATGCACAGGCTCAGTGGCCCTTGGACGTGTGGGATCTTCCTGGACCAGAGATCGAACCTGTGTCCCCTGCATTGGCAGGTAGATTCTTAACCACTGGACCACCAGGGACGTCCCAAGTACCTTTCATATGGTCACGTTGTGGGTGCTTTTGACAAATGAAGTCATTTATTGAATCTATTTTTTGTTTCTGTGGCAGAAGTAAATCTAATTGTTTAAAAAAAGGTGAAATCCTCAAATTGAAACAATGATTTGTCTGTTTTTGCTGTGATAGGTTCCTTGCATTGACTCCATGGAGAGTGTATCACCTGATTTCCGTCATGATCCTTACACGTGTTATTATGCAGATAATAAAGGATATGATTTTGTCTAGAACAAGAGGTAAGAAAACTTTGAATTTATTTTTATGGTATTTAACTTTCTAGATCCTGAATGTCTGACCTTTGTGTAGATATTTTAACCAAGTGGTCTTTGAAAAGGAACAAAATAACAGATAGTATAGGCACTGGCTTTTCTAGTTTAAATGTTTGTTAAGTGTTACTTTTAAATTTATTAAATTTATTTAGTATTTATCATATATTGAACTGATGTGTCCTTAGTGATAACTGCTGCTGGGCAAAAGGTTTGAATGTGCTGGTTTCTCTGTTGGCTCCGAGTGCTGTTATTCTGAATAGCATTTTGATATTCAAGTAGGCTACGGTGAGGATGACAGTTAAATATTTATTACATCCCACATGATGAAACTGGGCCATTGGAAAATGGACTAGTTGATGTAAACTTTTTCTCTGTCTCAGTGGAGAAAAGCAATGAGTTCAGGCGTTAATAACAATTAACTCGTGGTTAAATACATTTTTTTTAATGAATTGAAAAAATAAATTCACTTTAAACACCAAATTTTAAAAAATTCAAGAAAAAAACTTCAAGTGAAAATTTGAATTATTTAAAAAAAATTGTTTAAGATTTAACTATGCTATACACCTGAGTCAAGCGTTTCCATACTTGGGATGGGGGACTTCTTTCTACGAAGGTTTGAGCAAGTGTTTGTAAGTAGGCAAAAATCCCTGCTTGGAATACTTGGGCTCCATGAAATTAAGTGGACTAGGATTGATTTGATCAAAAGTAGCCAAGAGTGGGTTACAGTGACGCAGTTGATTCCACTGAATGTAACCCCAGTGGATAATTTGGCTGGGGTCCTTATGGGTGGATGCACATAAGAACTGTCCAGGGTCCTGCCCCCTTTTGGGGACACTGAGGCTGCTGGTGGGACGTCCCTGCTGGCATCCTCGGGACCATGGACGCACATAAGAACTGTCCAGGGTCCTGCCCCTTTTGGGGACACTGAGGCTGCTGGTGGGGCCTCCCTGCTGGCACCCTGNGTGGGACGTCCCTGCTGGCATCCTCGGGACCATGGACGCACATAAGAACTGTCCAGGGTCCTGCCCCTTTTGGGGACACTGAGGCTGCTGGTGGGGCCTCCCTGCTGGCACCCTGGGACCAGGGATGTAAGTGGTCAGGGATGCACCACCACGTGTCAAGGAGGCGCCATCACAGTGCTCTGCAGTGCCAGTGCTAGCGCTTAGTCACTCAATCGTGTCCGACTCTCTGTGACCCCATGGTCTGCAGCCCAGCCAGGCTCCTCTGGCCCTGGGAATTCTCCAGGCGAGAATACTGGAGTGGGTTGCCATTTCCTTCTCCAGGACATCTTCCCAACCCAGGGATTGAAGCCACGTTTCTCACACTGCTGGCAGATCCTTTACTGTCTCAGCCACCAGGGAAGCCCCTACAGTGTTCTGTCAGTCCAGTCCAGTCGCTCAGTCATGTTCGACTCTCTGCGATGCCATGGTCTGCAGCACGCCAGGCTTCCCTGTCCATCACCAACTCCCGGAGCTTGCTCAAACTCGCGCCTATCGAGTCGGTGATGCCAGTGTATGGTACACTGCAGTGTTCTATAGTGCACTTTAAATCCGGTTTATATTTAAGTCTTTATGGTTCTTAAATTAACTCACGTGTAAACTATTTAGGAAGATTGTTTCACATGGCCGGGTTTCAAGGTTTGGAGGCGATTCCTTCAGTCCCGTTCTGGGAACATGAACAGATTTGGTTTTGTCCAGTCACTGCTTTTCTCAAGTCTGTAGATTGGTTTGTATTCTTGTACATGTTCTTCCTTCTTGCCCTGCCCTTCTGTTCCTCACCCCCCTCTTCTCTGTTTCAGAGGACAGGCTTCTAACTGTCTACCTTCTGACCCTAACCGGGCACCTGATACTTTCTGTTCACCCTCACACATGCGTGCGTGCTCAGTTGTGTTCAACTCTTTGTGACCCCCTGGACTGTAGCCCGCCAGGCTGTCTGTGCATAGAATTTTCTAGGCAAGATTACTGGAGTGGGTTGCCATTTGCTCTTCTAGGGGATCTTCCCGATTCAGGGATCGAACCCACGTCTTCTGCATTGCAGGTAGATTCTTTACTGCTGAGCCTTGGGGAAGCCCCTCTTTTCACCCTAGAAATACTAATTCTACCTAGAGTTTGGGCTTCCCTGGTGGCTCAGATGGTAAAGAATCCACCTGCAATGCGCAAGACCTGGGTTCGATCCTTGGCTTGGGAAGATCCCCTGGAAGAGAGCATGGCAACCCACTCCAGTCTTCTTGCCTGGAGAATCCCAAGGACAGAGGAGCCTGGCAGGATGCAGTCCATTGGGGTCACAAAGAGTCAGACATGACTGAGCGACTAAGCACAGCACAGAGTTGGGGCTTCTTCACGCTGCAGAGCTTTGTACTCGGGTTGGTGGGATCAACCCATGGCGATACCTGTGTTCCTGCCCAGGTTATAACTAATAGAGGAGAGCCTGTTTCTCTCAAATAGGCTTGGAACATCTTCACCCTCCAGGAGCTCCCTCAAGGGAATCTTAGAAGAAAGATTATATTCTTTCTTAGAAGAAAGAAAATAACCACTTACCTATTTTACCCGCAGTCATTCTAGCTCGACAGGGCAAGTGGACTCACACAGCAAACTGAGCATCTCAATGTTTGCACTGGTGCACAGATCTGGTCCCAGGCCGGGCACAAGTTATAAGGAACAGGCAAATGGGGAGGCCAAGGATGAAGTGGAAAGACTTTGTGACTGTTCTTTTTCTCACTCTTACAAGGACCGTTCCCTGTGTTGACTCACCAGCTTGATGCTGTTGCACATGTGGAACTTTCATATCATGAATTGCAGGAACGCTCTCCAATGCAAAGATTCAGTCCTATGAAGTATTAAGGTGGTAGGGTGGGAAGAACACCAACGTCCTAGAGCTAGTTGGTACCATTTCTTAGCAATGGAGAGGCCTCTTCATAGACTATTGGCTTCCTCTGGCTGCAGTGACAAATTACCACAAATTTGACACCTTCAGTTACAGTTCAAAATCAGTGTCACTGGGCTCAAATCAAGGTGTGGGCAGGGCCATGCTCCCTCCAGAGGCTCTCGGGAAAGAGCCCTTATCTGACCCACCTTCTGCTGGTTCCTGGTGTCCTTCGCTTGTAGGACATCCCTCCAGTCTCTGCTGTGTGGTCCTAACACCTCCTCCTCTGCCTGTGTCAAATCCTCCTCGGCCTTCCTCGTCTTACAGGAACACTGGTGATTACATTTGGGCCCCACCCAGATAATCTGGGATGGTGTCCCCATCTCATGGCCCAAAACTGTCCCATTTTGTTAATCCCATTTTCCATATCTGAGGGCTTCCAGGTGGCACAGTGGTAAAGACTCTGCCTGCAGTGCAGGAGACGAGCTCCAGGAGACAGGGGTTTGATCCCTGGGTCGGGAAGACCCCCTGGAGGAGGAAATGGCTCCCCCTCCAGTATTCTTGCCTGGAGAATTCTCAGGGACAGAGGAGCCTGGTGGGCTATAGTCCATAGGGTCACAAAGAGTCAGGCATGACTGAATGTGCACACATAACATTTTCCACATAAAGTAACATTTTGCAGGATTCAGGGATTAAGGCCTGATAGTTTTCGGGGCCGTTATTCATCCTCCTACATAATCGGAACCTCTTTATCCTATGATGAAAAATCCTTCTTATACCACAGGGTTGTGTAGAGGTCAGACAAAAGCATTAAAAAAGAAGTGCCTACATCAGTCATGGGCCCCTCTGTTCAGCTTCCGACCCATGACTTGAATATCATGGGCTTGGTCACTCATCAGTCTGTCCATATTGAGGGCCTTCCTCTAGCCAGGGCCTGTTGTGAGTGCCTCTCTGACCGAGTCCAGCTCTCACGCTTCTGCCTGTAGGGTCGGCATTTGGAATGGACCAATCTTTCTGTCTGAGTTTTCACTGGGGGACATTGCTCTCAATTCAGCATTTCTGCTGCATGAGGAGAAAAGGAGAAACAAGATTCATCCCCGTGCATTCCCAGGGCTCCCTGTCTGTGGCTGAAGGAGCCCTGGGGCCTGCTTCATCCTCTCCGGGCCAGTCTTTTAGGACAAAGACCCATTGAGCCCCGTGTGGTTGGCAGGAGCCTGGTCTTACAGGCCCTCAGCCCAGGGCCCTGTGGTGATGAATTGGTCTCCAGGAGGCACAGAATTGGCTTCAAGTTGGACCCAGATATGGGAATTGGCATCATTCAGAGCCACTGGGCTCTCATGAGACACCCTGGCCCCTCAGCAGGAGTGGTGAGGAAAGGACCCCCAAGCCATCTGTCTCCTCGCCGCTCCCCCAACTTTCCTGCTTCCCACAGCATTTCTGGCTAAAGATATTAGCCAAAATCCTCTTGTTAAGAATTTAATTGTATCCCTCCTCTCCTGTCATTATATCTTTAACACCATCTCAGACACTTAATATGAAATAGATGAGCAAAAGTGTGGCCACACTGCCCTGGAACTTAATCGTTGTGAAACCCAGGGGGCCCCATGTCTCTGGTTTCTGAGTCACCAGTGTGAATGCCCTCTGGCTGTGACAGATTTCTGTCTTGCTGTTTTGTGCCCCAGTGCCTGCTTCCAGCATTAACCCCTTAGTCTGGTCCCTGGGGAGGTGTCTGTGGTGTGGGAAACTCTTCCTGCAGCCTTCAGCTTCTCCTTGACCACCTTCTCTGTCTTGACTAAAGAACCAGTCATCTTCCACACTCCGCCCCACCTGCCCCTCACTGTCTTCAGATGCTCTTCACCTACTTCCCTGGGCAGTGGCTGAGGGCTCACTCAGCAGGGCCCCACATGCTTCCCGTGGAACATGGCCAACCACCATCCCTTTATGCCTTTCCTCCTGCCAGATCTACATGATCCATTTGATAGGGAACATGGACCCACCTGGAGTCATGGCCTGTGAACTGTAGGCGTTTGTGCTCACTCTGTGCTGTCACTCCAGCTTGTGCCCTCATGGCTTGTGTGAAGGCCTGGTTTTGGTCCCCTAGACTGTCATCACAGTTTGGACCTCAGCCTTTGGAAGTGCTGTCTCCAACCCCTGCCAAGGCTGGAGGGTGCTTCCTTCTGTTCAGCCTCACTGCCATTGAACCAGCTCTGTGCCCCCAGTTCAACTGTTTTCCTGCATAGCCTCACACCACTGCCCCATTCTTAGCCGTGAGCAGCCACAGACTGGTCTACATTCAGTGATGGTGGTGCTGCTGTCCTCATCATTCTAATTTTCTCACTCCCTTAGGCAGCAACCATTTTTCCATTTTTTTTTGTTATAATTAACATACAATATAAGCAACAGCATAGTGACTTAATATTTTATACATTGAAAGTGAAAGTGAAAGTGAAAGTCACTCAGTCCAACTCTTTTCAACCCCGTGGACTACACAGTTCATGGAATTCTCCAGGCCAGAATACTGGAATGGATAGCCTTTCCCTTCTCCAGGGGATCTTCCTAACCCAGGGATCATACCCAGGTCTCCTGCATTGCAGGCAGATTCTTTACCAGCTGAGCCACAAGGGAAGCCCAAGAATACTGGAGTGGGGAGCCTATCCCTTCTCCAGCAGATCTTCCCAACCCAGGAATTGAACTGGGGTCTCCTTCATTGCAGATGGATTCTTTACCAACTGAGCACTTAGGGAAGCCCTCTTTTATACATTATGAACTGATAACTTCAGTAAGACCAGTTACCATCCATCATGTCACCACACAGAGTTGTTACAATATTATTAATTATATTCTCTGTGTGTGCACTGCATCCCCATGACTTATTTATTTTATAGTTAGAAGTTTGTACCTCTTAATCCTCTTCACCTATTTTGTCTATTCCCCTGACCCCNGTCCCCTTCTCCTCCTGCCCCCAATCCCTCTCAGCACCAGGGTCTTTTCCAATGAGTCAACTCTTCGCATGAGATGGCCAAAGTATTGGAGTTTCAGCTTCAGCCTCAGTCCTTCCAGTGAACACCCAGGACTGATCTCCTTTAGGATGGACTGGTTGAATCTATATGCATTTTAATGTTGATTTCATTTGAGCCTAGATACACACTCAAAACGCTTAAAGAGTAGATAAAAGTCTCCTTTCTCAAATAACAGTTGTTGCGATTCCCCTTTGTCAGCACCATTTCAGAGCTCACCTCATACACCGCCTCTGTCACTGGTGCTTTCATGACCAGACACATTTCCTCTCCTCGCTGAACTCTCATGGCTTACATTTCTTGTAGAGGTCCTACATCCCCCACCTTGGTTCACATTCACTTGAATGCAGGTGTGGTCTGCCCCACGGGACAATACAGTCCTCCAGGCAGGACCATGTGTTCTCTGCTGTTCCATCTCTCCTGCTACCTATCCAACGGTTTTGCATATATTAGAATCTCAGTGGATATTTGTGGACAGTTTTCCTGAGTGAGTTATGGTACCAGAGGTAGACACTGTATGATTTGAGAGTTTCCAGAATTTAAAGATCTAAGCATTCCATTTTAAATAGCCCAGAATCTTTCTAAGTTGAGAAATGCCTTAAGAGGAAAATACCTCCCCTAACGTTTCACGTTTACTTCTATTGCAGGTGCCCAGTTGTGGAGAAGCCTCAGTGAAAGGTAGGGAACTTGCTTTCAATGTTACCACTGATGAAGGGCGGGTGGGGGAGGTGACTGGGACGCCTAGATGCGCCTCTGAAATTATAGTTTAGCGACAAGAATGACAACAGTAATCTGCAAGAGTGGGAAAATAAAGAAAAATACAGTTGAACTGAGGATGAGGATAAAATTGGGACTCGCTCTGGGAAGTAGCTCACATATTGCTGTAATATTGGGCTACAAGCATGCTTGAGAGTCACAGTGTGTGAGGGGAGATGGTGTGGGAAGAGTTGGGGGGTGGGTTTCATTGGGGATTTCCTCTCCAACCTCATTTTGGGGTGTGAGCATCACTGCTGCTGCTGCTGCTAAGTCACCTCAGTCGTGTCTGACTCTGTGCGATCCCATAGATAGCAGCCCACCAGGCTCCCCCATCCCTGGGATTCTCTGGGCAAGAACACTGGAGTGGGTTGCCATTTCCTTCTCCAGTGCGTGACAGTGAAAAATGAAAGGGAAGTCGCTCAGTCATGTCTGACTCTTAGCAACCCCATGGGCTGCAGCCCACCAGGCTCCTCCGTCACTGCTGATGTGGGTGAAAAACAAGGTGACCCCGAGGCCTGGAACTCTGTTGGAATGTTCCTGAAGGTAAACCAGGAGAGAGGTGTCGGTTCAGAGAGCTCTGGGGTTGGGGACCAGCGAGGAGGGCTGGGAGGCTTGTAAGCCTAGCGGGGCAGCGAGTGTACAGCGACCTTTGGGCTCCTTGCGCAGCCGCAGGCAAAGTAGTTCCGTTTTCATCCAGCGTGCTCCACCCGGAAGTAAAGGTGGTCCACCCGGAAGTAAAGGTGGTCCACCCGAAGGAATGGGGGTCCACCCGAAGGAAAGGGGCTCCACTCGGAAGTAAACGTGCTCCACTCAGAGGTGAAGGTGCTATGCTGTGTGGAGAAGGAGAGGGCTGGGCCAGGTAATGCGGAGAAAGTAATCGATAACACGAACTGCATGTATGAGAAGTGGGAAAGTGAAGAAGATGTAAGGGTTAACACCCCAGTAAAATGAATTTTTGTAGTTATTTATTTTTTAAGTTCTGCCTTCAAAGTATTCTTGTATGACTGGAAGAGACGGTTGAGTGCTCAACTTACATCCAAGTGGACTGTGTGCAGTGAAGGCTCAAAGAGGAGACAGGGTAATGCCTATAACAATCCATGAAACTGCCCCCCGCACCCCGCCCCAGACCTGGTGTATAACGTACCCTTAAAATCTGTGTGTTTATTTCAGGTGTAAAGGCCAATTTTATGATGAGTTGACATCTGTGTGCTTCTTCATTTTGGAGCCCAGATTTTCAGGGAGGGGGGAATGTAAACTTGCCAAGAGACTCAGCAGAGGCAGACGTGGGCTCTAAGAAGGGAAATGTGATCTTCCGGGCACAGGCTCACCCCTGCCTGGTCGTCCAGGGCCTGGGTTCCGTCCTGTCCCGGCAGACACACTGGGCCTCCTGGGACAAGTGTCTGCAGATGCTTCCCCAAATGTCAGGTGGAGAAGTTGAGCCTGCTCCCTGATTCTGATTGGGGGAAGATCTGACCAAGTCAGCGGGTGTAATTTCAAAGGAATTTTAAAAGCTCTTCTATGGAATATTCTTTTATATCTACTGATACTCAGTCAGACTGGTTAAGGCATTGCCCATCTTTACTGTAGCCCTTGCCGTCCACAGCCCTTCTGAAGTAGCTGCAAGTTGCCTGGGAGAATTTCCATGGCACACTTTCTCTTAGCATGGAAATTAACTAGAGTATTTGATAAGGGTTTGGATAAAAACCTTAGCTATTAGTGAGCTCGGCAGGACCAAGGATCTCACTTTGCCAGCATCAGGTTAGCTCCTTATAATGTGGCTTTTTAAAGATTTGTAGCATTCTCCTGCTTTGGGGAAGCGCTTGTGTGCCCCCAGAGAAGCCATGCTCATGGAAATAGCCCTCTTTAGGGAGGGTCTCTTTTACTTCGAAGTCACCCAATGGATATTCAAATGCCACTCATTTTCCATCCTGGTCCTAACCCTGCTCCTAGTGGTCTTGCCAAGTTTACTGCTCTCTCGGCCTCAGTTGTCTCATCTGCAAAGTGAGAGGTAAGAGAGAGAATCATGTCAAACATTCATTCCAGCCCTAAAAAGTCTATGATGTGATTCAGGGGGTTTAGTGTTACTTTCAGCTTCCGAGGAGTAGGAAGTGGCAACCTACTCTAGTATCCTTGCCTGGAAAATACCACAAACAGTGGAGCCTGGAGGACCACAGTCCATGGGGCCACGAAGAGTCGGACGTGACTGAGCGACTACATGTATGCACGCGGTGTTCCTTTCAGAATGTTACCCTTTCACCTTTGTGTTTGGCCAGTGCTTCTTTCAAAGTGATTTAATTCTCACTAGAATGGATGCTTCCCCCAGTTTTCTTGCTGCATTTTCCACTGTATAATTGCATTCTGTTCTCTGTTCATCACACTGGAGATGTGAAATTAAAATATGGATTTCTCTCATTTCTTCGATGGTTTGGTTTATTGTTTACAGTGATTCTTAGTATCTGGTACTGGCTAGTACAGTGGGGTTTTTCCTTATTTATTTTTAGTGAAGTATAGTTGTTTGTACTTCCCAGGTGGTGTTAGTGGTAAAGAACCTGCCTGCCAGTTCAGGAAACACAGGAGACACTGGTTCAATCCCTGGGCCAGGAAGATTCCCTGGAGAAGGGCATGGTAACCCACTCCAGTATTCCTGCCTGGAGAATCCCTTGGACAGAGGAGCCTGGCAGGTCACAGTCCACAGGATCACAAAGAGTCGGACACAACTGAAGTGACTTCGCATGCATGCCCAAGTAGTTGATTTACAATGTTATTAATTCCTGTTTTACAGCAAAGTGATTCAGTTTTCTATGTACACACACAGATGTTCTTTTTAAAGTATTCTTTTCCATTATGGTTTATCATAGGTGTTTTTTTTTATTGGTGGATAATTGCTTTATGATGTTGTGTTAGTCTCTGCGATATGACAACATGAATCAGCTCTAAGTATACATATATGCCCTCCCTCTTGAACCTCCCTCCTACCTATCCCCCATCCCATCCCTCAAGGTCATCACAGAGCACCAGGCTGAGCATTGAAACATTCAAAACCATATTATTTTAAGAATAAAGTGCAGTGATGAGTAGGAGGATCTTTGCAGGCAGAAGGGGGTGGAGTCCTGTTTGCTCCTGTGAAGCAGGTGGGATTAGGATCTTTCCACTTGCAAGGTCTGCGGTGTTGAGCTCAGAAGTCTCTCGCTCCCTTGGCAGGTAGTTAGACATCAACATTTCTCCCTGCCCTCTCGAGTGACAGCCTGTACAACTGGATCCCCAGGTCTGTCAGCCTGGCTTCATCCTTCTTCACCCCAGCTTTGAACTAGTGGTTTGTGCTTGGTCCCGGAATGAACCCTGCCTCTTCTCTGAGGGCTGGGATTAGGGGCCACGAAGTTCACTGTTCAGAGGTGGATGGAATGATGGACCATTCTGTATGACAGCCTGCAGGTCCACCCCTGCCTCTTCCAATGGCTCAGTTTCCTTCCTTTTTATGGCTTAGTAATATTCTGTTGTATATATGCACCACATCTTTTTTTATCAATTCATCTGATGATGGACATTTAGGTTGCTTCCATGTCCTGGCTATTGCAAATAGTGCTGCAGTGAACACTGGGGTACATGTGTTTTTATTAACTTTGGTTTTCTCAGGGTATATGCCCAATAGTGGGATTGCTGGGTCAGTCATACAGAGTGAAGTAAGTCAGAGAAAAACAAATGTCATATATTAACACATGTATGTGGAATCTAGAAGAATGGTATAGATGAACCTGTTTGCAAGGCAGGAATAGAGACGCAGATGTAGAGAACAAATGTATGGACACTAAGGAGGGAAGGGGAGACACTACGGGGTGAGATGAATTGGGAGATTGGGATTGGCTTATCTGTACTCATATGTATAAAATAGATCACTAATGAGAACCTGCTGTGTAGCACAGGGAACTGTACTTAATGCTCTGTGATGACCTAAGTGGGGAGGAAATCCAAAAAAGAGGGGATAGATGTATACATGTCCCTGATTCACTTCACGGTACAGCAGAAGCTAACACAACATTGTAAAGCAGCTGTACCCCAATTGAAAAACAAACAAACAGTGGACCATTCTACCTTCATGATGCCACTGTAGAGTTTTTCCATTAACAAAGAGCTCCTTGAAAAGGGAACTCTTGTGCGCTGTTGCTAGGAATGTAGATTGGCACAGCCACTACAGAAAATAGTATAGAGGTTGCTCAAAAAATTAAAAATAAACCATTCTGATGGTGGTCCAGTAATTCCACTCCTGGGTCTAGATCTGAAGGGGATGAAATCACTGCCCTGAAGAGATGTTTATGCCCCATGTTCACTGCAGCATTATTCACAGTAGTCAAGACATAGAAACAACCCAGTGGGCACCAATGGATGAACTGATAGAAGAAACTGGTATATATACACAATGGAATATTATTCAGCCACTAAAAAGGAAGGAAAATCTGTCATCCTGAAGAGATGTTTATGCCCCAAAAGAACCTGCCTGCCAGTTCAGGAAACACAGGAGACACTGGTTCAATCCCTGGGCCAGGAAGATTCCCTGGAGAAGGGCATGGTAACCCACTCCAGTATTCCTGCCTGGAGAATCCCTTGGACAGAGGAGCCTGGCAGGTCACAGTCCACAGGATCACAAAGAGTCGGACACAACTGAAGTGACTTCGCATGCATGCCCAAGTAGTTGATTTACAATGTTATTAATTCCTGTTTTACAGCAAAGTGATTCAGTTTTCTATGTACACACACAGATGTTCTTTTTAAAGTATTCTTTTCCATTATGGTTTATCATAGGTGTTTTTTTTTATTGGTGGATAATTGCTTTATGATGTTGTGTTAGTCTCTGCGATATGACAACATGAATCAGCTCTAAGTATACATATATGCCCTCCCTCTTGAACCTCCCTCCTACCTATCCCCCATCCCATCCCTCAAGGTCATCACAGAGCACCAGGCTGAGCATTGAAACATTCAAAACCATATTATTTTAAGAATAAAGTGCAGTGATGAGTAGGAGGATCTTTGCAGGCAGAAGGGGGTGGAGTCCTGTTTGCTCCTGTGAAGCAGGTGGGATTAGGATCTTTCCACTTGCAAGGTCTGCGGTGTTGAGCTCAGAAGTCTCTCGCTCCCTTGGCAGGTAGTTAGACATCAACATTTCTCCCTGCCCTCTCGAGTGACAGCCTGTACAACTGGATCCCCAGGTCTGTCAGCCTGGCTTCATCCTTCTTCACCCCAGCTTTGAACTAGTGGTTTGTGCTTGGTCCCGGAATGAACCCTGCCTCTTCTCTGAGGGCTGGGATTAGGGGCCACGAAGTTCACTGTTCAGAGGTGGATGGAATGATGGACCATTCTGTATGACAGCCTGCAGGTCCACCCCTGCCTCTTCCAATGGCTCAGTTTCCTTCCTTTTTATGGCTTAGTAATATTCTGTTGTATATATGCACCACATCTTTTTTTATCAATTCATCTGATGATGGACATTTAGGTTGCTTCCATGTCCTGGCTATTGCAAATAGTGCTGCAGTGAACACTGGGGTACATGTGTTTTTATTAACTTTGGTTTTCTCAGGGTATATGCCCAATAGTGGGATTGCTGGGTCAGTCATACAGAGTGAAGTAAGTCAGAGAAAAACAAATGTCATATATTAACACATGTATGTGGAATCTAGAAGAATGGTATAGATGAACCTGTTTGCAAGGCAGGAATAGAGACGCAGATGTAGAGAACAAATGTATGGACACTAAGGAGGGAAGGGGAGACACTACGGGGTGAGATGAATTGGGAGATTGGGATTGGCTTATCTGTACTCATATGTATAAAATAGATCACTAATGAGAACCTGCTGTGTAGCACAGGGAACTGTACTTAATGCTCTGTGATGACCTAAGTGGGGAGGAAATCCAAAAAAGAGGGGATAGATGTATACATGTCCCTGATTCACTTCACGGTACAGCAGAAGCTAACACAACATTGTAAAGCAGCTGTACCCCAATTGAAAAACAAACAAACAGTGGACCATTCTACCTTCATGATGCCACTGTAGAGTTTTTCCATTAACAAAGAGCTCCTTGAAAAGGGAACTCTTGTGCGCTGTTGCTAGGAATGTAGATTGGCATAGCCACTACAGAAAATAGTATAGAGGTTGCTCAAAAAATTAAAAATAAACCATTCTGATGGTGGTCCAGTAATTCCACTCCTGGGTCTAGATCTGAAGGGGATGAAATCACTGCCCTGAAGAGATGTTTATGCCCCATGTTCACTGCAGCATTATTCACAGTAGTCAAGACATAGAAACAACCCAGTGGGCACCAATGGATGAACTGATAGAAGAAACTGGTATATATACACAATGGAATATTATTCAGCCACTAAAAAGGAAGGAAAATCTGTCATCCTGAAGAGATGTTTATGCCCCACGTTCACTGCACCATTATTCACAGTAGTCATGACGTAGAAAGAACTCAGTGTCCACCAATGGATGAACTGATAGAGAAAATTGGCCTATATACACAATGGAATATTATTCAGCCACTAAGAAAGAAGGAAATTCTGTCATCTGTGACAACGTGAATGAACCCGGAGGGCATATGCTAAATGAAATACATCAGACAGAGAAAGACAAATACTGTGTGATCTCACTTACATGTGGAATCTAAAAAATTATTCATAAAACAAAAGCAGAATGGTGGTTGCCGGGGGGCTGCGGAGTGGAAGTGAGAAGCTCTTGGTCAAAGGGTACAAACTTCCGATTATTAGGTGAGTGGGTTCTGGGGATCTAACGTGCAGCATGGTGACTGTAGTTAACAGTACCATATTGTTTACTTAAAGGTTGCTGACAGTAGATCTTAAATGCTTCCACCATCACCATGACAAAACGATGATGATGTGAGATAAAGAATGTGTAAACTACCTGCTGTGGCCGTCATTTTGCAATAGATACATCTGTCAGGTCACCATTGTACACCTTAAACTTGTGCATTGTTGCATGTCAATCACATCTCCATAGAACTGGAAAGAAAAGTAATTTCTCCTTCCTACAGTCCTAATGGCTTATTTCCATAGATTTTGAGAAAATTTGCTTTGTCAGCTAGGCTTTAAGTATTTCCTCCAAAATTTAGCACAAAGAAAATGATATCTCTGTGTGTGCATGTTTGTGCATGTTCATTCGCGTCTTACTCTTTGCAACCCCATAAACTGTAGCATGCCAGACTCCTCTGTCCGTGGGATTTTCCAGGCAAGAGCACTGGAGTGGGTTGCCATTTCCTTCTCCAGGTTACCTTCCCAACCCAGGGATCGAACCCCTGTCTCCTGTGTCTTCTGCATTGGCAGGTGGACTCTCCACCACTGCACCATCTGGATAATATGAAGGATATTCTCGAGTATAATGTGTTACACTTAACTAGTAAATAACAGTAAAGCCAACATCAAATGTCTGATGTTACCAACAATAAATATTGGATCATTTTAATCAGATGCCATTCACATACCTATTTCTGTACCTGGAAAGTTCATTTTGTGCAAATGTGATTCTCAGTGGGTAAGTCCTGAGCAGAGCATG